GTGTTGGTTGACTGTGTGGGGCCGTTGCCTCGAACTAAAGCAGGGAATAAGTTCCTAGTAACGGTAATGTGCACCTCTACTCGTTTTCCTGAGGTTTTTCCGGTGCGTAAAATAACTACGCCTGTGGTGGTTAAAGCATTGACAAAGTTTTTTTCATTGTTTGGTTTACCTCGGGTTGTGCAGACTGACAAGGGCTCTAATTTCATGTCTAGAGTTTTTGCGCAGGTTTTACGTCAGTTGGACATTAAGCACTGTCATTCCAGCGCTTATCACCCAGAGAGTCAGGGCGCACTTGAGCGTTTCCATCAAACTTTAAAAACAATGCTTCGCACTTACTGTTTGGAGTTTGAAAAAGACTGGGATGAGGGTGTACACTTACAGATGTTTGCCATTCGGGAGGTGGTTCAAGAGTCTCTGGGGTTTAGCCCGTCGGACTTGGTTTTTGCTCACACTGTTCGCGGCCCTTTAAGGCTGTTGAAAGAGAAGTGGTTGTGTGACAAATCTGACCAGAACTTGTTGGACTATGTTAGCAATTTCCGGCTGAAGTTGAGGCGTGCGTGTGAGATTGCTAAAGAGAATCTTAGAACTGCACAAGCTAAAATGAAGTCCCTGTTTGACAGAAGGGCAGTTTTGAGAGTTTTTCAGCCTGGGGAGAAAGTGTTAGCGTTGCTTCCGGTTCCTGGTTCCAGCTTGCAAGCGCGCTATAGTGGGCCTTATACGATCACGAGAAAGGTTGGTGATCGTGACTATCTGATCTCTACTCCTGATCGGAGGCGGACTTCGCGCTTGTGTCATGTGAACATGCTGAAGCCGTACATCGAACGTGCGCCCGCTCTGCTTAAATCTATCAGTTGTGTTTCCAGTGAACGTGATGACGCAGGGGTCGGGGCGGCTGCAGATGCACGGGAGGAGCTGTCCGGTGCTGAACCTGAAGGTGACATTTTTTCCCCGGCTGTTACTGAAGGGAAGGTTCCGAATTCAGCGGTTTTGCGGGACTTGCCTCTCTTGTTGTCCCACCTTGACTCTTCCAAACAGGCTGATGTGGTTCATTTGATCCAGTCTTATAGGTCTCTGTTTGCTGATATTCCCACTCAGACTCGTGTGCTCAGCCATGACATTGACGTTGGCGATTCCAAGCCAATTAAACAACATCCGTACAGAGTGAATCCAGACAAGCGGCGCCGTTTGCGGACGCAGGTGGAGTACATGGTGGAACATGGACTTGCTGTTGCCAGCAGTAGTGCATGGAGTTCACCATGTCTCCTTACTGTTAAAGCCAATGGGGAGGACCGTTTTTGTACGGACTTCAGGAAGGTAAACGGGGTGACTAGGCCGGATTGTTATCCACTCCCTCGTATGGAGGATTGTGTGGACCATGTGGGGGCTGCCCAGTTCGTTACCAAGCTGGACCTGCTAAAGGGGTACTGGCAGGTGCCCTTAACGGCGAGAGCCCAGGAAATTTCCGCCTTTGTCACACCCGATGATTTCCTTCAGTACACCGTGATGGCTTTTGGGATGCGTAACGCCCCAGCGACGTTTCAACGGCTAATGAATGCTGTTTTGTCGGGTTTATCTTTCTGTGAGGCTTATTTGGATGACGTGGTCATTTGTTCTGCTACCTGGACTGAGCACGTTGATCATTTAAAAACTGTTTTTACGCGTCTGAGTGAGGCTAATTTGACAGTTAATCTTTCTAAATGCCAATTCGGCCATGCGACGGTGACCTATCTTGGAAAAAGGGTGGGGGGAGGTCAAGTGCGCCCCGTTGAGGCTAAAGTGGAGGCCATTCTTTCTGTCCCTGTACCCACCACTCGTACTGAGCTGCGCCGCTATCTGGCGATGGTTGGCTACTACAGGGGGTTTTGTAAAAACTTTTCCTCTGTGGCTGCCCCGTTAACAGACCTACTTAGCCCTAAAGTCGCTTTTATTTGGTCTGATCGATGTCAAGCTGCTTTTGAGCAAACTAAGCATTTGCTGGTTAATGCCCCTGTGTTGTCTGCCCCTCGTTTTGATGTACCGTTTAAATTGGCTGTGGACGCTTGTGATTCTGGTGTCGGAGCTGTCCTGCTCCAGGACGGTACTGATGGGGTGGAACATCCGGTTTCTTATTTTTCTAAGAAACTGGATAAGTGTCAGAAATGGTATTCCACCATTGAGAAGGAGGCATTGGCGTTGATCCTTGCTTTGGAACATTTTGAGGTGTATGTTGGAGGTTCTAGCGGATCTGTGGTTGTTTTTACGGACCATAATCCGTTGTTTTTTCTGGCTCGCATGCGGAATAAAAACCGCCGCTTGATGAACTGGTCTTTGCGACTCCAATCTTTTAACATCTCTATACAGCATGTTCGTGGTAAGGACAACGTAGTGGCCGACGCACTTTCGCGTCTCTAGTCCCGTTTTCTTTTTTTTTTTCTTTCTCTCTGAATGGGTTGAGTTTTTTTTTACTTCAGACCCCATTCAGAGTCTTTGGGTGGGGGTGTTATGTGCTGCGGGCACATTAGGATTTTTTTTGTCTATTTCTTTTTTTTGCTTTTTTACAGACTTTAGTTAAAGGATCTTTTGTTAAAATATTTTGGGATTCTTTAGTAAATTAATTATGTTAATTTGCGGTGCTGTCGCCCGCCTATAAATAGGCTGGCCTTCAGCACGTTAATGCGTTCCTTTTTTTTTTCCTACCTCGTTTGGGACGCCGCTTTCCACCTGTTCCTTTTGGTTCTAGCGTGCGCGGTGCGCACTTGTCTTTCTGCTGCGGCCTGCAGCGGACGATCCAGCTTGCCATGCGGTATTTTTGTTAACCGTTTTTTCTTACTTTTTTTTCTTGAGTTTTTGGCCTGGCGGGACCGGTAGTCCTGTTTTCGATTTTTCTTTTCTTAGGATATTTTTTGGTCTTTAGTCCGGTAACAGTAGGGGCTTCGACGGCCCTGTATAGGGTTGGCCCCCTGCTGTACCGTTTTGTTCTGTTTGGCCGGCCTGCCAGGTCCAACTTTCTGTTGCTACTTTGGGTTTTTTTTACTTTTGGGGCATGGGATTTGAGGGCCTTATCTTACTCTTCCCTTCACAGAACATCAGAAGAAGCTGACCAAGAAGAACTAATTGAAGAGAAGTGATAAATAAAAATAACTTTTGAACCCTCATTTGTTGTCCCGTGACCTCAAATATGTTGTGTCCTTAGCGGGACGTAACAATATATATATATATATATATATATATATATATATATATATATATATATATATATATATATATATGTATATGTATATATGTATATGTATATGTATATGTATATGTATGTATATATATATATATATATATATATATATGTATATATGTATATATATATATATATGTATATATATATGTATATATGTATGTATATATGTATATATATATGTATGTATATATGTATATATATATGTGTATATATATGTATATATGTATATGTATATATATACATATATATATCTATATATATGTATATATATATATGTATATATGTATATATGTATGTATATATGTATATATATATGTGTATATATATGTGTATATATGTATATGTATATATATACATATATACATATATATATGTATATATGTATATATATATGTATATATGTATATATATATGTATATATGTATATATATATGTATATATGTATATATATATGTATATATGTATAAATCAATATTATATGGTTCAACCATCTGACCCCTCCTTTATGCTGTCTTCCAATTGATCTGGTCAAATGTCTTTTTCTTCTGCAGTGAAATAAAGAGCCCTTCTCTGGAGTGATATGTGAGTTACTTTGCTTTTCTGTGATGGGGAACCCAGACAAGAGTTCCCAGATGAGCAGAAACATCTTTTGAAGTGTCCAGAATTGGATACTGCATTTCCATGTAAGGGATTGAAAGTGATCATTTCATCATCCAGGCCTTGCAGACCTCACTGCCTCCATTACAGTCAAGACTTATAAACAGGCCCCAGCTAATCAGGGCTAAACCAACAGTTAAGGAAGTCAGACCCCATGACATCATCAATGACCCCTCAACTAACCCCCCCCCCCCCCCCCCCCCCCCCCCCCCCCCCCAACCACCACCACCACCACCATGGATTGTTATCCCTGCTGCTCTCTGGGAAGAGGCCTTGAAACATTGGATGCGGGTCCATCAGATTCTGCAACAGCTTCTTCCCCACCACCATCAGATAGCTGAATTGTTGACAAAAACTAAATCATGTCAGACCCTTCATCACACTGATAATCAAACCAAAAATACTGCATATTTGCACCATATAAATAATGCTCTGAACTTTTTTTGCATCACATTCTTTCTCCCTTGCTGTTTACATTTTATCACTGCTGCAATTTATGCAATGGAAAGGTTCATTTACTGTCTGTAAAGCTGTACTAAACAAAATTTCATTTTGTATAATCTCTGTATACAAATCGACAAAGTTTGTCTAACAACTGAATTCTTGTGTCACTGTGATCTTTTTTTTAACTGTAGTCATTTCATTTTGTGGTTCAAACAATTTTTACAAGGGAAAAAAAACAGCCCTGTTGCCCTGCCGATTGCTTCATTTTTAGCAAAAAATACTAAGGCTTTATCATTTAGGCCTTTTTTTCTTTCTTACCACAATGCTTATTTTTAATACGAAAGAGCAGAGGAATTTAATTAGAAAATTATTTAAAATCTGCTTAACCTCTGACACATTGAGCTGGGGTGTGTCTCTTCCAGGCAGAGGTGAACAGGAAGCGCTGCTAAGGGTAGGGTGTCTCATTACTTCCTCATTTGCCAGACAGTAAACTGTGGTGTTGAATGCTTTACTTACTTAATTATTTGTGGAGGAAACAAAATCAGGCCAGAATGAACTTCATATCTTTAGGTTGCTTGATAGGATTCACTTGCTCCTCAACCTCAAGGAGAGAGTTTGGTGCTTTTATATGAAGTCTCCTTTATTTAACCACTGATAGAAAGTCTTTCTGCTGTGTTTGTCTTTCCAGACCACCTGCAGGATTATGTTAGGAAAGAGGAGGATTTCACTGACCAGCAGCTCTATGAACAGGATAGGAATTCCAGTTTGGATCAAGAGGAACCAGAAGCTCTGCAGATAAAAGAAGAGCAGCAAGAACCAGAACATCCCTGGACAAAAGAGGAAACCATGGAGCTCCCCATAGGTGATTTTACATTATTACATCATGTTCTACTCACTCATATGAGGTTTGTGTGTTTTGGAGCCGTTCTGAAGAAATTCCGTTAAGGTATATCCAAGTAACATCTTCCTATGGGCAACGACTTGAAGGCACAAACTGAACTGTTCATAATTTATTCTTCATGGTACGCCAGCATTCATAACATGTAGGCGAATCACTGTCCCCCAGACATCCGCGGTTATCAGGAGCCTGAAAACTAAAAGATCTGCCTCCTATTCTATTTTTAGAAATTCTAGGAACCACTAGTAAACCTGCAGATTGAGAGCGAAGTGCTCTGTTAGGAACATAAGGAACAATCAGATCTCTGATATAAGATGGAGCTTGGCCATTTAAGGCTTTATATGTGAGAAGGAGGATTTTAAATTCTATTCTGGATTTAACAGGAAGCCAATGAAGAGAAGCCAGGATAGGAGAGATAGGATCTCTCTTTTTCATATTCATCAGAACTCTGGCTGCAGCATTTTGGATCAGCTGAAGGCTTTTAACTACAGTTTGTGGACTTCCTGATAGTAAAGAATTACAATAGTCCAGCCTTGAAGTAACAAATGCATGGATTAGTTTCTCAGCATCAACCCTGGACAATTTTGCAATATTCCGCAGATGAAAAAAGGAAATTCTAGAAACCTCCTTGATATGGGATTTAAACAACAGGTCCTGATCAAAAACAACACCAAGATTTTTCACTTTATTATCTGAAATCAGCAGTGATGGGCAGTAGCGCCGCTACATGTAGCGAAGCTATTAGTTTAACTACATTTTCCAGTAGCTTGACCGTAGCGTCGCTGCTTTATTTATCAAGTAACTTTCCAGTAGTGACGTTATTATTTTTATCAAGTAGCAACGTAGCGTCCACAAACGCTACAAAATCCAGGGCAAAACTAAGTAATGAAACCAGGTTTTCTATATTTGAAACATCAATCGGAGTTATTCGTTGGACATTCACGCATGAGCCTCTATTCTGCCTCTCCTGTCTGTGTCTACGAAACCTGCGCATGCGCACTGCAGTGGAACTCGAACAATGACACACGCACACACACAGAGCCACACACACAGGATGGAGGAGGAGATAGGAGCAGAGCAAGAAGAGCAGCCAACTGTCCCTATCACACTGTGGCCTTATCTTCAGAGATTATGAAACTTGTTGAATCCTCTGATAAAAAGTACGTGTTCAGATGTCTGCTTTGCAATCCAAAAACCAAACCGTTGTCAATGTCCAGGACATTTAACACCAACCTAAGAACTCACATTCAGGTGAATCACTGATTTTCCCACCTGCAGTATGCAAGTAAAAATATCTAGCATCATTATAAATCCCAACACATTTTAGCCAAATGCTATATGTAAATTAGTAAAACCAAAGCTTCCCACCTACCAACAAGCAGTGTGTGATGGAAAGGGACTATCCAAGTGGCTAAGAAAAAGTGTTTAAAAAAAAAAAAAAGTTTATGCAGTTATTATATAGTAAAATTTGATTAGCCTGGTATTTTATAATGTTCAGTTATTCAAACATGAGTGATTTTCAAGGTTCTTGGCCATAGAGAGCTCATGTGGCCAAGACTAGCCATTTGTTTTACATAGCAAAACACTCACTAAAACAGTCAACTGCAGTCAATTTTTTTAAATAAAAATGAGAAAAATATATCAGCTTTAACTTTATTGGCGCCTTTAATTTCCAGATAGTTAAATCTGATGAGTGCCATTAAGATATTCTCATTAGAGAGCAGTAGCCAAACTTCGATATTATATTTTTATGGCCTAATTTACCAGACAGGATGTTTACATAAATCTGTTTTAAGGCTTATTTGAACAGATAAGATTTTTTAGGTATGGAGGAACTCCCATATATAAAAATAAATACATAAATAAATACATGCTCAATATATAAATAAGCATTCAATTAATTACCCCCCAACATACAATGAATAAATATGTAGGTAGAAATTAAATTATACAGTGAGACATAAATGTATATATATCTCTTAATTAGCGTCTTTATTTGTTCACCTTTTTTGTAAACAGTTTCATTTGTTACTTGAATCGACTGTTTAATTGAGACCCTAAAGAAATAAGATGCCTTTTGTAGGGTTTTGTTTTCCCTAGAGATGTCCATTGAATGCAAACTCATAGCCATGTCTCGATGTGCAGAACACTACACAGTACCTTTAATTTGGTTCTAATAACAGCAGATTGTTTATTTTTTTGTCTACTAGTAATTACTTTAGTTTTTTTTTTATTATGCTGATCATAATGCAATTTTTACACTGTGATATGTCATTGGCTGATCTTTAATAAATATTTTAACCAGTGTATCAGAATAATTTTGAATTGACATTAGCTTGGTACAACGTTAAGTAGCTTCTGATGTAGTTAAGCTACTGTTAACACATTAGTGTAACTTAGCTTGCTATAATTCTTTAGGTGGTAGCTTTTGGGTAGTGAAGCCTAATTTATTGTTGAGTAACTGATAGCTTAGGTCACTACACTGGATAAGTAGCTTGCCCAGCACTGGAAATCAGTTTAATCCCATCCAAATAAAGTGACTGGCTAATCAGCTTATTTTTCAAAGACTCTGGTCCAAAGACTATAACTACTGTTTTGTCTGTATTCAGAAGGAGACAGTTGAGAGTCATCCAGGTTTTTATGTCTTCAAGACATGCCTGTAATTTATGTAATGGGTTAGCTTCATCTGGATTTATAGACAGATATAGCTGGGTATCATCAGCATAACAGTGAAAATTAATCCCATGCTGTCTAATAACTCTACCAATTGGTAGCACGTATAAAGTAAAGAGAATTGGTCCTAGCACTGATCCCTGTGGTACTCCACAGGTAACCCTTGAGCATGTTGAAGATCTGTCATTAACATCAACAAACTGAATTTGATCAGATAGATAAGATTTAAACCAGTCTAGTGCTGTTCCTTTAATTCCAACAAAATATTCAAGTCTTTCTAAAAGAATATTATGGTCAACTGTATCAAATGCAGCACTAAGATCCAACAGGACGAGCACAGATACAAGTCCATTATCTGAGGCCATGAGAATATCATTAGTGACTTTCACCAGAGCTGTTTCAGTGCTATGATGAGCTCTAAAGCCAGACTGAAACTCTTCAAAAAGTTCATTATGGTGGAAGTGATCGCAAACTTGTTTGGCAACTACTTTCTCAAGAATTTTGGATAAGAAAGGAAGATTGGATATAGGTCTATAATTGACCAAGTCATCTGGGTCAAGAGACGGTTTCTTAAGCAGAGGTTTAATTATAGCAACCTTAAAAGCCTTTCATTTTCAAAGGAGCTGCGTTGTCTAAGGCAGTACGCAGAGAACTAGCAACCCCATCAACAAAATCATCAACCTGCAAAGAGGAATAAACAAAGCTTTTGCACTCTGCAGTACTGCTCAGCGACACAGAGGAGAGAGAAAGTGAAGCAGATTCTTTAAAATTTATAACTGCACTATCTGATAAAGATCTACTAAAATTGAACCTTCTTTTGGGGGAGGAGAACTCTGTTAAAGTAATCCTGAAGGTTATTAGAAAGTGGTCAGAGAGGACAGGGTTGTGAGGAAATACTGTTATTTCTTCACATTCTATGCCATATGTCAGCACAAGATCCAAAGTATGAAGATGAGAATGTGTGGGACTATTCACATTTTGAACAAAGCCAATAGTGTCTAAGATAGCATTAAAGGCTGCTCTTAAGCTATCACCTTCAATGTAAGCATGGATGTTAAAATCTCCCACTATGATGACCCTGTCAGTATTTAATACCAAATCAGAAAGGAACTCTGAAAACTCATCTAAAATTTCAGAGTAAGGACCTGGTGCACGATACAAAGTTACAAAAAGAAGAGGTTTTCTTGCTTTGAAATTTGGATCAGGGAAATTAAGGGTTAAATGTTCAAAAGAGTTGTAAGTATTAACTGCCTTGGGAGTAATCAGTAAGTCAGACTGAAAGAATGTTGCTACTCCTCCTCCTCGCCCAGAACTTTTGGGTATGTGAAAATTTAAATAGCTTGAAGGATTTGCCTCATTTATGCTTACATAATCCTCTTGCTGCAGCCAGGTTTCTGTAAGGCAAAACAAGTCAATGTGATTATCACAAATCAAGTCATTAACTAGCAGGCTTTTAGAGGAAAGAGATCTTATGTTAAAAAGACCACATTTAATCGTTTTAACTTTTGCCCCAATTGGAGTTATTTTAATTAGATTATCTTGATTTACTTGTTTGGGAATATTTGCCAATTTATTAGATTTTGGTCGTGGGCAACACACTGTCTGGATGGAGTAAAGAGTGGATAACAGTAGAGAAGCTGCAGAGATGTGTGTTTAAACTACAACTCTGCTTCCTGGTCTGCACCCTGGGTGGTCAGGGTTTTGGAGGACTAATAAATGTGGCCAGATTCCTAGAAAGAAGAGCTGCACCATCCAAAGTGGGATGGATGCCGTCTCTCCGAATCAGACCAGGCTTTCCCCAAAAGGATTGCCAATTATTAATGTAGCCCACATTGTTTTCAGGACACCACCTAGACAACCAGCAGTTGAATGATGACATGCGGCTAAACGTGTCATCACTGGTCAGATCAGGGAGGGGACCAGAGAAAATTGCGGAGTCCGACATTGTTTTGGCAAACTTACACACCGGAACAACACTAATTTTAGTGACCTCCGATCGGTTGCGACCTCCTTTTGAAATTGCCATTTTGCAGACATTGAGAGTAGCTTTAGGACAGTCTTCACTCGCGACAGTAATATACTTCGACACTTCTGAAATGCTTGCTTTGCACCGCCGCAGAGGTTTGTATTGCGCGACCACCATCAAACGTAACTAGTGGGTGCTTTATGGCAGTTCCCGTAAAGATCGGCGAAACTAGGCAGGCAATGTAGCCGAGTTCTGATCATGGGAAAATGGGAAAAGATCGGGCCGATCCGATCTCGAGATCGGGACATCCCTAGTCCAAACCTTGCCAGATGATGGATAATCAATCAGTCTGTCATAACCTTTGACTTGTGATGTCAGAGCTGTGGTTAATGCTGGGAGATGAAGTTCAGATCTGTTTATATGTAGTTAGATCAATGCAAGGATGATTAAAAAGGGTGTGTCCTTGCTTTAACCTACAATAGAAAGTCTTTCTGCTGTGTTTGTCTTTCTAGACCTCCTTCAGGATTATGTTGTAAAAGAGGAGGATTTCTCTGACCAGCAGCTCTATGATCAGGGGAGGAACTCCAGTTTGGACCACGAGGAACCAGAACCTCTTCAGATAAAAGAAGAGCAGCAAAAGCTAGAAAATCACTGGACAAAAGAGGAAACCACGGAGCTCCCCATAAGTGAGCATGAAGAGCAACTTGTTCTGAAACACGAGACTGAAGATACAGGAGAGAAACCTTCCCCATGCTTAACATTGGAAGAAAACTTTATAAAAAAAGAACATTTAATGGATCACATCAGAATTCACACAAGCGAGAAGCCTTTTGAATGTTTGTCCTGTGGAAAAAGCTTCACCTCTAAATCTGATCTTGATAAACACAACCGAATTCACACAGGTGAGAAGCCTTTCACCTGTACCATTTGTAAGAAGAATTTTTCTGAAAAGGGTAATTTGACTTCTCACATGAGAATTCACACAGGTGAGAAACCTTTCTCCTGTGCCTTTTGTAACAAGAAGTTTACTAAAAGGAGTAATTTGACTTCTCACATGAGAATTCATACAGGTGATAAGCCTTTCTCCTGTACCATTTGTAACAAGAATTTTACTGAAAAGGGTAATTTGACTGCTCACATCAGAATTCACACAGGTGAGAAACCTTTCTCATGTATCATTTGTAACAAGAATTTTACTGAAAAGGGTAAATTGACATCTCACATGAGAATTCACACAGGTGAGAAACCTTACTCCTGTACCATTTGTGAAAAGAATTTTTCTGAAAAGTGTAATTTGACTTATCACATGAGAATTCACTCATTTGATAATCCTTTTTCCTGTACCATTTGTAAAAAGAATTTTACTGAAAAGGATAGTTTGACTTCCCACATGAGAATTCACACATTTGGGAATCCTTTTTCCTGTACCATTTGTAAAAAGAATTTTACTGAAAAGAGTAGTTTGACTCGTCACATGAGAATGCACGCCGATGAGAAGCCTTTTGAATGTCTCTCTTGTAGAAAAAGCTTCACCTCTAAGTCTGATCTTGATAAACACATCAGAATTCACACTGGTGAGAAACCTTTTTCCTGCATGATTTGTAGCAAAAGTTTTACTCATAAAGGTAATTTGACTAGACACATGAGAATTCACACAGGTGAGAAGCCTTTTTCCTGTACAACAAAACAAGAATTTTACTACAAGGAGTCATTTGACACATGAAAAGTCACACTGGTGACTTCTCATGTGTCAAATGACTCCTTGACACATGACACTTGGGAATTCAGACTGGTGAGAAACCTTTTGAATGTATGTCCTGTGGAAAAAGCTTCACTCAGGAATCTCAACTTCATAGACTTATGAGAATTCACACATGTGAGAAGCTGTTCTCCTGAATTAATTGGGACAACGGTTTTAAACGAGAAAGCAATTTGAGTATACAAATGACATTTATTCATGCATGACCTGTAATGATTTATATATTTCTTTTAAAAAAACATTTGTTTCACATAAGTTGAGAAACTCACTGGTTAATGGTCTTTTTTGAGAAAGCCATTAATTAACAGCTCTGTTTATAGAAACCAGAACAGATAAGGTGTTATATTGTAAACCTTGTAAATATTTAGATCCTGGATATGTGAATGTGAACATCTGAAAGGTAATAATTTGGGGCCTGAGTAGCTTAGATTTAAATGGCCCAAAAAAAAAAGAATGTTGCCTTAACAAAAAAAAAAAAAGATTAAATTCATAGTTTCTTACTTTTTCTGTAATGAAGGGAATAAACATAATAAAGTGCAAGAACAACATCTTTGTTACAGATGAAGTACGTTTGCTGTCCATTCAACAAGCAAGTGAGAAGTTATAGATGTTTAAATTGAACAAAAAAAAATCCAGACAGACACCTACTGTGCCATTTTGGCATGGAGTGGCACAACTTTTTCTGAATTAATTTATTCAGGAAAAAAAAAAAAACCTCACAAGTTTTATGTTTGGGACTAAAAAAAATTTTAGCTGAATGATAAGCTATCTGCTGGATATATTCCATAAACAGACGTTTATTCAGATGAAAATATCCTCAGATGAAAATAAAAGCAAAGCTAGGACAGATTCAATGTGCTTTGCTCAGTTTTGCTGATGTTTTTGGAGGATTTTTTAAGAGGTCAGCTTCAAGTGATCAGATTTTAGCCAATTCAGTTAATGTTGCAAAGTAGCTCCAGCCACCTTGAAAGGGGGTGCTGGGATTATGGGGTTAAACTACGGGACATCAAAGAACTCAGTTTAGAGGCTGGAGTCTGTAGTTCAGGTAAATTGAAGTCCTAAAATGATTAAACATGTTTGTTTAAAAAGATAAACAGGATTGATGATGTTGATGTTATTTTTACTGATCAGTTTGAACCTGCTTTAACTTGGTAAAAAGCCTTTGTCTTAATAATTTATTGAAGTAGTCTCACTCTCCTCTAGAAGTGTGAAGTTTCTGATTTTTAAAGATTTTTGAAAGTATAATTTTCCTTTAAACTAATTCTAATAGTTTTGTTCTTGATTCTGTAGATGTTCTATTTACCTGCTATGATTGAAAGTAACTATCACCTATTTTATACAACTCATTTTATGGATTATATTCTGCTGTGGATGTTTTTAATTATTGTAATCACTTCTAAATTGATGAATGAGCAGAAATAAAAACTTCATGGATTGTAAAAATGTGCTTCTTTATATGGTTTCATATAAATTACAATCATTTTCCATGTTTTCTCTGATATTTTCAGACAAACTAAAGTTCTAAAATAAATAGTTTGTCATTCAGCTTCTGTCTTCTCCAGTCTTTCCTGTTGCTCCTCCGTCAGCATTAATCTTTTTGCTTTTTAGATCCTGAGTGTGTTCAAATCTGGCCATTGGATAAATCCTCCTTTGCTTGTTGGAGAACTTAGATTAGGAAATAATGTAGGTACGCATTCTGGCCCAGTTGGTTTGGCACCTGATAAAATAAGTGTTTCAGTTGCTATAACTGTGTGTGTCCAGAGCCGCTACAACAAAGCAACTAGAGGAATGAAGGATCTAACTATGGCTGTGTTCACAATGCAGCCTGAAGGGAACCAGATCTGATTTTTGTACTTAGTAAAAATCTTAGAATTACTTGGACAGATTTATTTGTCATTTTGTTTAAACAAGTGTAAAACAAAAATAAATTTCGTTTAGAACAGCTCTCAGGGACAATGTATTTATTTTTTTAAGTGCAGCCTTGAAAAATATTTAAAAAATATTAAAAAAAAAACAGTAATATGACTGTAAATTTACAATTCTAACATTTCAGTTTCTGAAATATATATATATATAATGATAAAATATAATGCAGAGCGGGGATGAAATGTCTTTAATGGTGCGAAGAGGAGCCCCCATGATCCTCTCTGCTGTTCCCACCACTCTCCTTACTTTCTTCCACTCTGAGGTGCTGCAGCCTCCACACCACACAGTGAGACTGCTGGTCAGAACACTCTCTACGGTGCTTCTGTAGAAGGTGGTGAGGATGGATGGGGGCAGGTTGGCTCTCCTCATCCTCTGCAGGAAGAACATGCGCTTTTGTGCCCTTTTGACCACTGAGGTGGTGTTTACATTCCAGGTGAGGGTGTCTGTGATGTGCACCCCCAGGAATTTGGTGCTGCTGACCACCTCTACAGCTGAGCTGTTGATGACCAATGGAGCGTGGTTCTTCCTGAAGTCCAAGATGATCTCCTTCGTATTTTTACGTTCAGGATCAGGCTGTTATCTTTGCACCAGTCCACCAGCTGCTCCACCTCCTCTCCGTAGTCCAGGTCGTTGTCGTCTCTGATGAGGCCCACCACCGTGGACTTCTTGATAGTAAAGAATTACAATAGTCCAGCCTTGAAGTAACAAATGCATGGACTAGTTTCTCAGCATCACCCCTGGACAGGATATTTCTAATTTTTGCAATATTCCTCAGATGAAAGAAGGAGATTCCAGAAACTTAAATTTAAATGACAGGTCCTGATCAAAAACATCAAGATTTTTTACTTTATTATCTGAAATCAGTTTAATCCCATCCTAATGAAGTGACGGACTAGTAATCCAGGTTTTCAAAACATGCCCTGTAATCTATGTAATGGGTTAGCTTCATCTGGATTTATAGACAGATATAGCTGAGTATCATCAGCATAACAGTGGAAATTAATCCCATGCTGTCTAATAACTCTACCGATTGGGAGCATATGTACTGTGTGCAGAATTATTGGGCAAAATAATTATTTTGACCACATCATCCTGTTCATACATTTTGTCCTACTCCAAGCTGTATAGGCTTGAAAGCCAACTACCAATTAAGTTAATCAGGTGGTGTGCATCTCTCTAATGAGAAGGGTAGTGGCCTAATGACAACAACACCCTATATAAAGTGTGCTTAATTATTAGACAACTTCCTTTGGCGAAATGGGTCAGAAAAGAGATTTGACAGACTCTGATAAGTCAAAAATTGTCAGATGTCTTTCAGAGGGGTGCAGCAGTTTGGAAATTACCACGCTTTTGAAGCGGGATCATCGCTCAATCATGCGGTTCATGAGAAAAATAGCCAACAGGGGAGCAAGAAGCGTCTTGAAAAACAAAACCCAAACTAAATCTGCATGAAATGAGAATGATCAAGCGTGAAGCTGCCAGGAAGCCATTAGCCACCAGTTGTGCCATATTTCAGAGCTGTAAAATGTCTGGAGTGCTGAGAAGCTCAAGGTGCTCAATACTCAGGGACCTGGCCAAGGTAAGGAAAGCTGAAAAAAGGCCACCTTTGATCAAGACACACAAGACAAAACATCAAGATTGTGCCAAGAAATATCTGAAGACTGATTCCTCCAAGGTGTTTTGGTCTGATGAAATGAGAGTGAGTCTTGATGGGCCAGATGGATGGATGGGCACCAGGCTGAATCAGTAAAGGGCAGCAAGTTCCTTATCGACTCAGACGCCAGCAAGGTGGAGGTGGGGTACTGGTATGGGCTGGTATCATCAAAGATGAGCTTGTGGGACCTTTTCGGGTTGATGATGGCGTCAAGATCAACTCCCAGACCCACTGCCAGTTTCTGGAAGACACCTTCTTCAAACAGTGGTACAATAAGAAGTCGCCATCATTCCAGAAAAACATGATATTCATGCAGGACAATGTTCCGTCACACGCATCAAAATACACCACAGCATGGCTGGCCAGAAAAAGTCTAAAAGGAGAAAGAATACCGACATGGCCCCCTGTTTCACCTGATCTGAACCCCATGGAGAACCTTTGGTCCTTCATGAAATGTGAGATCTACAGGGAGGGAAAACAGTCCACCTCTCTGAACAGTGTCTGGGAGACTGTGGTGGCTGCTGCACGCAATGTGGATCGCAAACAGATCAAGACACTGACAGAATCTATGGATGGAAGGCTTTAGAGTGTCATGGCGAAGAAAGGTGGCTATATGTCACTAATTTTTTTTGTTTTTGAATGTCGCAAATGTTTATTTCTGAATTTTGAGTTATTATATTGGTTTACCTGTTGAAAATAAACAAGTGAGATGGGTATATATTTGTTTTTTATTACGTTGTCTTATAATTCTACTCAGTAATATTTACCTGCACACAGACATCCTCATAAAATGGCCAAATCTAAAAAAGAACACATCAACTTCCAAAAATATGAAACTTTGATATGAAGGACTCTTTTGGGGGGACTGAGAACACAATTGTGGCCCAATAATAAAAATAATCCTCAAAAATACAACTCGCTTAATAATTCTGCACAGTGTATATAGTACAGAGAATTGGTCCTAGCACTGATCCCTGTGGTACTCCACAGGTAACCTTTGAGCATGAGGAAGATTTGTCATTAACATGAACAAACTGAAATCTATCAGATAAGATTTAAGCCAGTCTAGTGCTGTTCCTATAATTCCAACAAAATATTCAAGTCTTTCTAAAAGAATATTATGGTCAACTGTATCAAATGCAGCACTGAGATCCAACAGGACGAGCACAGATATAAGTCCATTATCTGAGACCATGAGAATATAATTAGCAACCTTCGCCAGAGCTGTTTCAGTGCTATGATGAGTCTAAAGCCAGACTGAAACTCTTCAAAAAGTTCATTATGGTGTAAGTGATCGCACACTTGTTTGGCAACTACTTTCTCAAGAATTTTAGATAAGAAAGGAAAACTGGATATAGGTCTATAATTGACCAAGTCATCTGGGTCAAGAGACGGTTTCTTAACACTAGGGCCCCGTCCACACGAAGCCAAACCCTGGCCTAAATGCACACATTTTTCACCAAACCAGCCTCTCATCCATACGAAGCCGGCGTTTCGGGGGTCTGTAAACGATCTTTTTTTTATTCAGCCTTCAGAGTGGGAAGATTTTGAAACGCCGTTTTCGCGTTTCCATCTTTAAGCTCTAACCGCATTTTTTTTCTTACAAGCATGCGTTATAGCGTCGCCTCTAAACACGCATGCGCGACACAGTATCACAACAACAATGGCGCCGTACTGTGTTGAATGGTTGCTGTTCATGCTACTCACCCTGCTGTCGGGCTTACAACAGAATCTTCTTCTTCTGGAATATCTCCAGGAAGAACAGAGCAATATCGACGACGTAGTTCAGCATTTGAATTTGACTGAACCACGAAAATGGACCCGCAGGGCCATTTTCCGGTTTGGTTGTTGTATAAATATTACTGCGCATGCCCAACATTTCGTTGCCTGTTTTCGCCTATTTTTGCTTTGGCACCACAGCGCCACTTACAGGCCTGGCATACATTTTGCAGCGTTTTCATGCATTCATGTGGACGATCACATTTATTTTACGTCTCCGTCTTTACGACAAACGTTCTGGAAAATATTAGCGTTTCGTGTTCGTTTTGACTTCGTGTGGACGGGGCCTCAGTTTTCCTGCAAGCCCCCCTCCCCTCTTCAAGTTTGTGTATTCACTCTACCTTGCAAAGTGTCT